TATTTATTTATTTTTATTTATTACATTTATTTATTGTGTGTGTGTGTGGCCAGCTCAGCCCACCAGGGGGCGGGTCTGGCTGGCATGTGGTGCTGGGGATGGAACCGCGGTCCCTGTGCTTTGCCAAGCTTGTTTCAAGTAGGTGCTTTAGACCACTGAGCCATCTCTCCAGCCCTCTAACTCATTCTTGATTCAGGCATTATTGATGGCTGAAATCCCACTAATTGTAGTAAGGCGTACACACACACACACACACACACACACACACCTTTTTTTTTAGACAATGCAGACTGGCCTTGAATTCACTTTGTAGCCCAGACTGGCCTTGAACTTACACTGATTCTCTTGCCTCAGCCACAGGCCTGAGCCACTGTGTCTGGCTGGCACATCCCCTTTCAAGTGACATATTGCTGAAGTATGATGTGAATCAAACATGTTTCAGCTAGCAGATGACAATTGTTCTGAAACAGAAGGAAATGAGAGTTTAAAGACACTATGTCTAGACAAAGTGGTATCAGGCAGAAGGGAAAAGGGCACATTGGGGTGGGTGTGTCTAGAGCTAACTCTGGGAAATAAAGTAGTTAGAAGTCTGGCTAAAGCAGAATCTTGATTCATTATTATAACACTCAAATTTCCTCTTATAGGGAAACCAATAGATGACAGTTCTCTTGGGTTGGTAAGTTTGCTTTTCTGAACAAATGAAAATCGCCTTTGTTACTTCCTATTGTCCCCAAAGTGCTGCCCCTGTGTCTTCCTCTGACTTTTGCCCTCAGTTGCTACCCAGATCCCATCAGAACCATAAACAGGAGCCCATGTGTTTCCCCTTGGCTCAATTTCAGAAACCATGACTCTCACAGAACTTCTGTCTTGCTGCAAAGCTGACGTTAAAAGTTGCTTGTGTAGGTTAAAAGATGGGGTATCTCTTTGCTGTGCTCGTTTGAACTGTGAGTCACTCTGGAAAAGAAGGGTCACAAGAGTCTGCTTCCTCCCTGAAGGTTGTAGCTGAGAGGAATGCAGCAGGAGGTGCAATGAAGAAACGGAAACTGGAAGAGCACAGCACCCCCGGGGGAACAGGACTGCCCAGGTCAGTGGTGTAGTGGGAGGCTGAGTCTCACACTCTGATCACATCTTGCCATCTGTTGGGCTGACTGCCTCTATTCTTCAACAAGTTACTTTCTTTTTATGGGCTTTATCAATAATATCTGCCTGTTCTGAGAAATGGACTCAAGAAGAGAGGTAAGTTGATGTTTGGGATGCAGTTTAAACATAGTTCCTTCCTCAGCAAAGTGAGATTGTTCTTTTCATCAAGATGCAGTCTGAGGGGCTGGTGAGATGGCTCAGTGGTCTAAAGCACCTACTTGAAACAAGCTTGGCAAAGCAAAGGGACCATGGTTCAATCCCCCAGCACCACGTGCCAGCCAGCCCCGCCCCCTGGTGGGCTGAGCTGGCCACACACACACACACACACACAAATAAATGTAAAAAAAAAAAAAAGATGCAGTCTGAGCCAGGTGCGATGGTGCGTGCTTGTGATCCCAACACTTGGAAGGTTGAGGCAGGAGGATTGCCACAAGTTCAAGGCCAGGCTGGGCTACAAAGTGAGTTTGAGGCCAGTGTGGACTCCAAGGCAAGTGTGTCTCAAAAAAAAAAAAAAGAAGAAGAAAGAAAGAAAAGAAAAGAAAAAGATGAAGGCTAAGAGAAGTATGAACAGATGTGTACAACTAAATTCAACATAGATAATCCTTACTATGGTAAGATTATAGAAGACACAAAATATAGTGTCCAAATGTTATACAAAATCAGGAGTCAAGCATGATGGTGCACACCTGTAATCCCAATACTTGGGAGGCTGAGGCAAGAGAATCACTGTGAGGCCAGCCTGAGCTATAAAGTGAGTTCAAGAACAGCTTGAATTACACAGTGAAACCCTGTCTCAAAAAAAAAAAAAAACCTTGAAAGGATAAGAACTAAGAACAAATAAAATACCTTATTTTACCCAGTGAGCAGAAAGCTTTTGGAACCTTAAGAGCAGCCAGGATAAAACATAAATGCTTGCAAGATAGTGTATATCTATTTTTAGGTGAAGACCAATTGTTGGAAATGTCAAACACATTGATTTAGTAAGAGATGTTGCAAACATTGATTATTAAGGGACAATGGTGAATACAATGATTATTTTTGTTTGGTTGGTTTTGTCTTTTTTAAAATGCATGTAGTACAGGTTCTCACTACACAGATCAGACTCCTGGTGATCCTTCTGTTTTCAGCCTCCCAAGTGCTGGGATTACAGGTGTGTGCCACCACACGCAGTCTCAGCAGCGTGCCCCAGGGCAGAGGCCAGCACGGCACACTGGGGATTGAACCCTGGTCCCTGTGCCTGCCTAAGTAGGTGCTTTAGTCCACTGAGCTAACTGGCCAAACCTTTGGTTTTTGTCTTTTTGATGAGATCAGGCTTGTTGTATGGCCACAGGACTGTTTCTGTTTTTTTGAAACATGTTCTTGCTATGTGTTTCAGGCCTTGAACTCATTATGTAGCCCAAGCTGGCCTCCAACTTCAGACAGTCCTCCTGCCTCAGCCTCCTAAATCCTGGGTATTTACTCATGTACCACCACACCCCATTGAACACACTGAGTATTACAATGTTAAACATATGAATTATTAGAATATTGACTACATCAACTGTTGAGGAATGTTGATCACATACCTAACATGTTGAGGTTGCTATTGTAAAGCCTGCTTGCCCTGAACCTATTATCTCTTTTGAGCAAATGATAGGTTACAGTGGAAAGAAAATAAGAACACTTATTCTGGTTAGCTTAATTCCAAGATAATAATTGGCTTTTTATTTTTAATTATTTCTAATTTTTTTTATTTTTGGTGAGCAGAGATACCATGATGAATGCCTAATTGTGAAAGAGTTAATTTCTCAAAAGTGTTAAAATTTTGTAAGAGAAATGTTTAGGGGCCAGGGAGATAGCTCAGTAGAATAAGTGCTTCCCTGGCAAGTGCAAAGGCTTGAGTTCAATCCCCGGTTCTGCCAAGGGGAAAAAAAAAAAAAAGACAAATGTTTAGTTATACATATAAGAATTTAATAGTTTTGGGCTGGGAAGATAACTCAATAGAATAAGGGCTTGCCTGGCAAGCGCTAGGGCCTGAGTTCAATCCCTGATTCCACCAAACAAAAAAGAATTGAATAGTTGAAGATTATTGGTTTATAATCACCTCTACAATATTGTTTAATCAGAAGTTGTATGAACCTGGGTTATATGTAAATGTAAAAATTGTTTATTTACAGTATACTGTTTGATTTGTTTTTTAGTATTTAATTTTTTTGAATATTAAATCTGTGCTCCAGTACATATACAAATTGGGAAGATGAATGCTGTAGTTTCTGGAAAATATACCTAGGGAACATATAGGTAATTCACTGCTGCAATTCAGTTGATGGAATTATTATGGAAACTAACTCAATATTTCAGATTTATCTGTACCCAGAAGCAGCAGACATGTAAGCAGATATTCAATAAAGAATACTGTTGATCCATTTCACTGCTGAAGTAGGCCTGCTCTCTTGTGCTATACTGATAGCTGTTATGGGAAAAATTACTAATTATTCCTCTTGATGTGAAACACTAATAATCAGTATGTTTAAGTTGATCCTCTATCCATTCTTAGACTGCTTTTGAAAAATTGAGGAGTCGAGGAGATAGCTCAGTAGAGTAAGCACTTGCCTGGCAAGCGCAAGGGCCTGAGTTCAATCCCCAGTTCCGCAAAAAAAAAAAAAAGAAAAGAAAAATTGAGAGTTTTTCAAATATAAACTTGGGCAAAGTTTCATATTATATATATTTGATTAAATAGAGGGGAAAAAAGAAAAGAAAGAAAAAAAAGGCTACTTGTACTCTTTTTGTGAGATAAGTTCTCATTGTGTAGTCCAGGCTGGCCCTGAACTCATGCTGATCCTCCTGCCTCAGTCTCCCAAGTGCTGGGATTACAGACGTGCACCATCATGCCCAGTTACCTAAGCTCCTTTTATTCTCTGTCAAGAGCAGAATAAATCTGTAAGACAATTCAATCTTATCATCCCAGAGAAGCTTGCTGGGATAATCCTTGGTGAGTTTTGCTACCCAGCCCAAGGTGCTTTCAACTCAGGGTCACAGAGGGCCGCTCCTCTTTTGCTGGGGCCTTGAGGCCTATAGATGCTCAGGGCATTGAGGCAGCACCCTGAGCCTTCCAGACATGCATGTCAGTAAAGAGTTAGGGCGCTCCTTGCCACATTGGGTGTAATGTGTGGTGTTAGAAAGTATGAAGCTTTGGTCTATTCCATTCAACTGAATATTCCATGGAGATGAAGTCTCAGCTCTTCCCTTTCTGAGTTTTGTTATATAAATCGGGTGTTTTAGAATCTGATAACCATCAGTCATATTTTTCATTTCTCAAATCCCATATCGTTAAGTGTCTCAAATTAGGATTCTATTGTGAATTAAAGCAGCACCTAATGAAAATTTGGCCACACAGTTTTTTCTGCCAGTCAGGATTGGTATAAAAATAGCTAACCTGCTGAAATATTCATTTGGGCCCCATTTGTTGGAATGTCATAATGTTGCCATGGACAGTAATATTCATAGGCTTCTTCCTTTACTCCAGGGCCAAGATGGGGTCTTCCAGCCAAAGACTGAGTAGGAAGAAGCCACCTATGGAAACCAGGAGGGTAAGCACCCAAAGGAGGTCCTGAGGCTCTGTTGCAGGTTTTGATTGCTGTTACCTGCAGGGCCTGGTCCTTACCGCAGACTGAATTAACTAAACTCATTCTCAGGTTTCACTGTCTTCAGAGCAATGTTCAACTGTTCCACCCCTGCTGCAATTTGTCCCAATAATGGCTGCATAACACACACATAGATGAATCGTTTGGTCAAAAGGTCTTTCTTCTTAGTTTGAAAACTTGCTTCCTATACTCTGCAATTGAAGTATAAAGGGGGGAAAAAGAGGTCTATATTGAATAGAAGTAGAACACAGTATAGAAGTTCCTCTTTAGAAAACTTTAGCTTTATTTATGTTGGTCTAAGTCTAGGAACATCTGAGTTTATTTTAATTAACTAATTTATCTATTTATTTGAAACTGAGAATTGAACTCAGGATCGCAGACATGCCAGGCAGGTGCTGTGCCACGAATCTATATCCCCGGCCTGGAACTTCTAATTTTAACATGAGCTAGCTAGGTGTCAGTACTAGAAATCAGTAAGAAAAAACTAGAGCAATGCTGAGTTGGTCCTTGATTATTTGATTTTGTCTGATTTATGGAGTCTGTTCCCTATGTGGATATTCATGTATCTTTTGTTTTGTTTTTGTATTTTAGGGAAGGGTCTACAGGATGTTCAGGGTCTCACTACTAGATGGACCTCATAGTGATCCGCCTGTTTACAGCCTCCTAAGAGTTGGGATTACAGGGGCGCAAAACCACACCCAGTCTTATTCACCATCTCAGCATGCCCTGGGGGCGGGGCCAGCATGGAAAGCCCAGGGATCGGACCCCCCAGCCCCTGCGCCTGCCTGCAGGCACTTTAATCTGCTGCTAAGCTATTTGGTCAGCCCTTCTTTTTATGTTTTGTATAAGACAGGGTCTCCTTAAGTAGCCCTGGCTGGCTTCAAACTACAAGTGATCTTCATACTTCAGTCTTGAGAGTGTACCACCATGCCCAGCTTTATATATCAACTACTCCATTTCAAGGCTTATTTTTCATAGCACCCTCTAAAGCAGTGCCCTTTTTAATTTCCTCCTTTTTTATGTAACTGTTAGCTATTATAGATGTCTTATGGCTCCTACATTTTGTTCTCACTTTTCTATGCCTCCAAAGTAGCTCTTCCCCTACGTTCCCACACACTAACTCACTTACTTTCACCTTATCAGATAGTGATTCCTAAGAATTGCACATAACATGATCAGTTGCATTCATTCACCCCATTTCCACTATGTACCAACTACTGGAGATAACATTCTCTGTCCTAAAAACACCCATAGCCTTAGGCCAGGCAGATAGTTACTAATAAGTACACTGTGTGTGACAAACAGGAAGCAGAGGACACAGAGGTGACACAGGAAGGCCATGAAGGAAAGGTTCTTAGAGGTGCTCAGAGGAGCTGAAAGAGCTCAGAGCCCAGCACTGAGAAACACTGTTGGAGATGATCGTGTGGGCTGAATGATGAAAGGTTTTGAGACCATCTTCAGTACTGAGCCAAGGCTGGCAAACGGCTTATCAGATTAAAGTGCCTGTTTAGGCAGATGCAAGAGCGGGAAGTTCAATCCCCGGGCCTGCTGTGCCGGCCCTGCCCCCAGGGTGCACTAAAACAGAGATTGAGACTAGGCATGGTGGTGCCTTCCTGTAATCCTAGCACTTGGCAGTCTGTAAACAGGACAATCATTACAAGTCCATTCTACATAGTGAGACCCTGTAGACCCTATACATCCTGTCCTAAATTTAAAAAAAAAA